GAGGGTTAGTGAATGATAAAGTGGCAACTGCTGCATAATATAGATTTGGAAACAGCTAATTACAGTATTGCTTACGAAAACGAACGAACGAACAAATACTATAAAAGCAATGTATAAAATTTAACGCAGTCGAAGCGTAAGAATGTGTTGTCTTGCAGGGTTGCATTGAGACTAGGAAAGCAGTAAGGTTCTGTTCGAACAAAGGCTAAGATACTGAGACCTGAAGAGCATCAATAATGATAATCATTGGGGCAGACGTTTTTTAATTGGTGAATGCTGTTACGTAGAATACTACCTGCAGTGTAGATGCTATAGGAAAATCATTCAGCCAGTGATGTTTAAACTTAGTAAGCATTAATTCATCGAAGCAGCTTCTACTTTTTCATGACATTCTTCACCTCCCCATTTTTGGTAGATGTTGACTTGGCCATTTAGCAAGCAATGGTTCTATGGAATTTTAGTACTTTGCAGTGCTATGTTTACCTTTCATTGTTTGACATATAGGGCAATGAATCATTTTTCGATGTTGTTTATATAGTTTTTTGACAACATCGTTCATAGTAACGAATTCAGGATTACGTATTTGAGAACCAAAATATATTGTCTCGAAAACAACCACGCAACTGCGTTCGGATTTCGAAATTGTATGAAAGTAGGGCGACAAAAACGTATTGTTTATGGTTGTATTCAGTAATTGTGACTAATTCAGCGAATTATAGATTTGTTCGGTAAATGAAACATTTTAACTTCCTCCTTTCTGCCTTATGCAGATGCTGTTTTTACACTCGGTTACTATGTCGGTAGTTAATGCCTATCTCTGTTAGACGATTACAATAAGACGTGGATTCTGGCAACGGCGGCTGCCCTGTATTGGCGCGTGGTAGGAAATTCGTCGATGGCCATTCAGTGTTTGCGCCATTCCATACTCCATGCACCATATAACATGAAGGTGACGTCTCAGTGTCGTTTGGTTATTGTTTCATTTATGTGTTGAGTGTAAAGACGTTTCATGTTACAGGATCTGGGTCTGATCAGTTTGGCAAACGTCTACCATCAGAACGGCTGGCTGCATTCAGCGTTGATTGCGGCAGGCGCCGCCATGCGAATTTCACCAAAATTTGTTGTCGTTCATTTCACACTTGCTAATATCTACGCAGCCCTGGTCAGCATTCAAATTGAGACTCGCCTTGTAAGGTTTGCGTTATTCTTCCGTTTTAGGGTAATTTCGACCGGGCAGTGGGTTTCTATTTTTCGACTCTGGAGCTCCAAGGCAGCTTTGAACCGGCAAAGGAACGCATTCGCGCATTGTTTTGTACAGTGGGAAGCGAGGCCGCTAGTTGACCACGCTTTTTATG